CATTGATGCCCCGCGGGGCCTGGGCACGGCCGGCATGCTAGTCCGAAACTGAACTCGTGTAGTCGGTAACGTACAACATCGGGCCTACATAGTGTTCCAAAGCTGAACAGAAAGCTTGCAGCTCAGCGCGCGGAGTGGCCTGGCGTCTGCCGAAGAAGGCCTGGGACACCCCGCAGCACGGAGACCAGATGCAAAGCGACGAGGGATCCTGACCCTCGACCGCAATCGCCGAGCCGCAGCGCCGCCCGGAAGCATTACTGCCAAACTCGCCTCCGGAGCCGTCTCCGAAAATGTGCGAGGGCGGGCCTCCAGGGTTTGAGCAGAAGGTCCTGCGCGAGACCTGCACCCCGCAAGGAGCTCCTGAGCAACCTCGGGGGTCTCGACACACTTGGGCTCCACGAAGTCCTTCGGGGGGGCTCCAGGGTGCGGGCGGCGCCTCCAGGGGAGCCATCGCCTGGGGCGCCCAAAGAGTCAATGGCCACGACTGTCTTCGTGGCCGCAATTCGCAGAACAAGCCTGGATCCTATGAGCTGAGGTCTCTGGATGCATCTGACAGCGGGCGGGGGCAAAGCGGAGGGGAGGGCAGGCGTAGCCATCAACTATCTGACGGTCTGTCGTCCACTGGTCTCCTGAAGGCACAGCCAACTAAGAAGAACACATCGAACCGGCCATTCTTCGTAAAGCGGTCCAGTTCATGACGCATCGTAGACATGTCTGCGCCAGCCTCCAAATCCTCGCCAGACACATTCTGAGATGCCGTTCTCCACTGCGGCCAAACAATTATCCAGGAAAGCTCCAAGCATGTCTTCAGAATGGGCAAGTGCTGCAGTGCCGAATTGATCATCGCCAACGCAGGGGAAGAGCCGATCGTCAATACTTCCATCAGCCAATGGTTCAGACCAGCTGTGCTCTTTTCTGCGCTCCCCCCTTCCGTCCCCCTCCGATGGGAGAGGATCCGCGCTTTGATCGTGGGGTCGTCTTCCAGCCCTCTCGTTGCCAAGTGCCTCGACGCAGGCCCTGGCCCTGGCGGGCCCCCTCTCCCCGGAGACCCGCCGACCCCCCCGCCTGGCCTCGGTTCTGCCGGGAGGGCCGGCGGGGGAGCAGCTTCGGAGGCTGGGCGGCGCAGTGCCTCCCTGCCCCCGCCCCCCAGCCCTCGAGCCGCAGGTGCACGGGCGCAGCCGCCCGTCACCTGCCAGCCGTTGGCCCAGAGGCCTGTCACCTGCGAGCCCTGGCGGCCGCAGTTGATGGATCCAAGCGTCTCCGACGGTGTGTCCAGGACCCGCAATTTCATCGCGAGGCGTTGGCTGACGGCCCCGGGGGCCCGGCGAGGGCCCCCAAAGGCTTGAAGCGACGAGAAAAAAACCCGTCCTGATGTTGTCCACACTTTGTGGGGTGCGCCTTCATGGGAGCCTCTGTTGATTTCCGCGGCCGTATCAGACATGTGGTTCCCGCTGGATTTCGTCCAGGTTTCGACCGCCCTTCTTCACCATTTTGTCCAGATGTCGTCCAAATGTCGACTGAATCCGACGAAATCCCCCGAACCGCAAGGAATTTTGGGACCCTCTGAGGCTACCATGAAGGACCACACAACGAGGGCAGCGGCGCCTCGACTCCACCCCACCTTCCATGGAAATTCAAGGCCCAAAATGCGTGGGCACCATGGAATATCCACCAAAAGGCCCTTTCGTAGAACCCGCCGGGCACCATCGCTCCGCCTCCCTCTAGGCCCGAGGCCGGCCGGCCTTATACGCGCGTGCCGTGGCAAGCTTTCGAAGAGCTCCGGCTGCCCCAGCGCCCAGCCTCGAAACCATCCACGCTTCGAGCAGTTGTGCATCAGGAATCAGCTGAATGCTTCTCTCAGCCAGACACTGCCTGGAGAGATTCGAACTCCTTCTGTGCAAAAGTGCTCGTGGCTATCGTCGGGACCCAGTTCCCCCGTGGTTACCTCGGAAGTTCCTCGGGGTTTCTGACAGCATCGATTTGCTTGCTGCCTTGCACTCCTGTGCAGTATAATGCTCAATCTTATTTTCTTCTCGCGCGTTGGATTGCTTCGCTTTGCTTGGTTTACTTTGTGCTCTTTTCCATCGCATCGGCTTGATTGGCTTTACATTGCACTGCGTCGTTTGTCTTGCCCTGCGCCGTCTTGCCTTTCTTTGTATTGTATTGCATTGTATCGCATTGCGCTTCACTGTGTGACTTTGTCTTGCTTTGGTTGGGATTGCATTTCGTTGCTCTGCTGCCCATTCCTCTGCCCTGCGTTGCCTGCTTTGCATTGCCAGGCTTTGCTTGCCTTCAATGCATCGTTTTGCCCCTGATTTGTGCAGTGCGTTGCTGTGCGTGCGTTGCTTCGCATTGCTTTACAATGCGTTGCATGGCATAGCTTTAATGCGAACGGCATGAACTTACATGGTGTTGCATTGCATTGTTCTGCCTTGCACCATTTCAAGATGAGCTGCGTTCTTCGAGTTGTAGCGCGCTGCATTGATTTACACTTTTTTTGCCCACGCCATAAGTGGGGTTCTTGTTTTTACTGGGTACCCCGCGCAGGAAGAAGAACCCACCACCACCACCACATCCTTAGCATGATCATTATCATCGTTATCATCATCACCATCATCATTCTCATCATCATCGATCTCATCGTCGTCGTCATCACCAGCAATTGCCATCATCGAAACCATTGCACACCACTATCGTCATCACGAACAGCCTCCCATCATGATCATCGACCAAGCGGGCGCCTCGTCTGTGTGACTTGCGAGGAAGTTTCCGGCGGGCGGCCCCTCCATATGGGGCCTGCAGCTCACGTGACTAATTCGAGCGTGTCATCGGAATCCTGTAGCTGTCGTCACGTTCGGCCTCTTCAAGCTTAAGTGCGGAGGAAGACTCAGACGGGAGCCTCGTTTGTGAATGACTTGCGAGGAAGTCTCACGTGGAAACACCTTCCCTGTGGGGCCCACAACTCATGTTACTATTCCGAGCGGGCCATCGAAATCCTGTAACAGTCGTCGCTTGTGGCCTCTTCAAGCTTGAGTATGGAGGAAGTTTCAGGCAGGAGCCTCGTCTGTGAGTGACTGGCGAGGAACTCTCAGGCGGGAGCCCTTTCCCAATGGTGCCCACAATTCATGTTACCAAATCGAGTGTGTCATCGGAATCCTATAACTGTCGTCAATTTTGGCGTCTTCAACATTGAGTATGGAAGAAATGTCAGGCGGGAAACTCGTCTGTCAGTGAATTGCGAAGAAATCTCATGTGAAAACACCCTATGGAGCCTGCAGCGTGTGTTACTAATCCGAGCGGGCCATCGGAATCATCTGCCAGGCGCACCTCTTGACCACTCCACAAGGACAAATCGTGAGGATGTCTCGAGCGGGGGCCTCGTTTGTGAGTGGGATGTGAAAAAATCTGAGGCCGGACCCCACTCCCCACGGGGTCCGCACTTCATGTTAGAATCCGAACGGGTCATCGGAATCATCTGCCAAGTATGGCATTGAGCATCCTAAGGGTGCAAATCGTGAGGATGTCTCGAGCGGGGGCCTCGTCTGTGAGTGAATTGTGAGGAAATCGAAGGCGGGACCCCTCCCCTATGGGGCCTGTTCGAATCCGAACGGAATCGCTTACCAGGCAAAACATTTGAGCACCCTACTGGTGCCACTCGTAAGGATGTCTCGAACAGGGGCCTCGTTTGTGAGTGAATTGCGAGGAAGGCTCGGGCGGAAACCCCCTTCCTATTGGATCTGCACTTCGTGTTGGCAATCCGAGCGGGTCATCGGACACATCTACCGGCCATCTGAGAACGCGCCCCTTCTGGCCGTGGCGGCGAGGGTGCCGAGGAAAGGCGACATGCGTGCCCCAGCCAGAAAGAAGGAGAGGTGCATGAGGAGAACAAACGGGATGGAAATGAAGAGAGGGAGCAAGAGGAAGAGATGGAGGACTAGGAGGAGGAGGAGGAGGAGGAGGAGGAGAAGGCGGAGGAGAGGAGGAGGAGAAAGAGGAGGAACAGGACGAAGAGGAGGATAAGGAAAATAGAAAGAAAGATGAGGACGAGAAGGAGGGGACGGAGGACGAGGAGGAGGAGGAGGAGGAAGAGGCGCAATCAAGGGCGGGAAGATGGCCTCCGCCAGGGCGAAGAGGAACAAAACGAGGGGCAAACTAAATATATCATTATGTGGGGTCCTTCCGTCGGAGTGATTGAATTCTTTGAATTCCACGGGTTTGCGTTGCATTGGCATGCTCGGCAATGGATTGCGTAGCATCGAAAAATGCCCCTAATTTGGATCGGGTCAGATTCGTGCTGCCTCCACGGCAGCCACCCAGGACTCCTCGCCCCACGCAGCAGACTTCTCCACCGTCGTTCGCAAGACGTGCCACGCATCGTCGGACCCCCCTGCAATAAAACATATACATATTCCACTGACTTGTGCCTATGATACCAATCTACAACAAGCACTGAAGAAATTCGCCATCACCGTTCTGATCGAAAGACACACACGCATACACATATATATATATATATATATATATATATATATAGATTTATGTATATGAAATAAATAAGAATACGCACATGCTCCTTCTCGGCAGATGTGCGCGCGGTTGTTCGCTCGCTCCGCGGGTCTAACGTACCACTGAAAGCATCCGTGACATGTGGGAGGATGGCGTTCATCAAGCCTTCGTACCCTGTCCGTAACGCAATTGGAACCACTCTGTCAGCAACAACTGGCATCCCTCCCCCCTCCCTTCATGTGGCTGTGTGCTTGGGGTGGGCGGATGCGCAGGAACAGGATGAGGAGGGCGGATGCGGCAGAGCAGGAGGAAGAGGAAGAGGAGGAGGTGGAGAAAGGAGGAAGAAGTGCATGCGAATGAGGAGGAGAGGAGCAGGAGGAAGAGGAGGAGGAGGTGGAGAAACGAGAAATAACAATCGTGAATGAGGAAGAGGAGGAAAAGGACTTGGGCTGGGCCAGGCGCCTGTGCGTCGATAGAGCAAGCAGCCCCAGGGCCTGCGCCGGCGAGTGCTGGTCAGCCTCGCGGAGCCCCCGAGCAGGAGAAGCAGGGAGGCAGACAGCGCAGGCGGGCCGCGGAGCTGTGGCAAGCAAATGCGGCTGCATGTGGCCGGGTCTGGACACCCTGAACCCCAAAATGTTTTCATCTCTTGGGGGCGCATTCTCGACTTCCGCTGCCTTCCGCTAGCCTTCCGCCGGCGTCCGCCAGCGGAGGCAGCCTCGTCTTACTTCCGCCGGCCTTCCGCCGAGGAGGAGATGATAGCTCCGTCGATCCTCGAAGGCGAGGCCCTTTTTTTCAGCGCCCCATGTGACATGAGAAAAGGTCGTTTGCTGGGTAAGCCGTCCAATGTCTCGCGGCCGTGGGACAGCTATTTTTCTGCCGCCGGGTATGGGATCCACTCGCTGTCTACCTCGCCTCGGCAACGAAGCTACGTCACACTGCATGTAGCTATGCCCGCTGATGGTTCTGGCCACTCGGAACCCCGCACGGTGGCGAGACGCCCTTGCGCTGAGGACCGATGCGCGGCCGATGCTTTACCTGCGCCGCTTGCGTCCGTCGTGGCGGACTCAAGACGGCTGCGAAGAGAATAAAAGAAGCGATGGCCCCATAAGGGCTGCGACCGTCCTCGCAAGACGCATGCTGCTTGTTGGCGCCTCCGAGCCTCCGCCGCTTTACGCCTGGTCAGCTCCATTCCGCCTGTGGCCACCTCCTCTGCCCCCGCATCCCCTCCCCTTCCGTGCCCTGCTCCCCCTGTCCTCCGGACTCTTCCTCCCCTCACCCCTCTCCCTCTCCTGAGGGGCGCCTCCAGGGGGGGACCAGCTCGGAAGGGGGAGGTATCGACCTGGAACTTGCCGTCGCTCGGACGTCCATCTCCCGTGCATTTTTTCGGTCTCGTGCGTGTTTTTTTTTTTCTCGCTCGATGATCCAGGATGTTCCTCGAGGGTCCTCGCCGAGAAAAAAAAATACGCACGTCCGAGCGATTTCAAGGGGAATCGGCGACACGCCGCCGCCAGACCATCGACAGGCTCCCGGTGGCGACACCTCACGGTCCTGGGCGGGAGGGCCCATCGGGGCCCTATCGGCGATGAGTGGGCGACCGGCGGTCGATGCGACCCGTCCCTCCCCTTCACTAAAAGGCCTCCTAGAACAGGGTCCGATGAGATGGGGTCGGAGGATCGCGCCATACGGTAGAGGGAAACAATTAGTAAACACCCCCCCTGCCCCCCAAACTCAAGGTTGGCACGCGCGGGGGAGACCGCGGTCGAGGTGCAACTCATCAGACCCACCGCCAACCTTGAACATTGGGGGATGGGGGAGGCGTTCACAGATGAATGTGGCATGAGTGTTCGCTATTTTTTTCCGAGGCCTGCATCGCCGATGCGTCGGCGACGCTGGCGTGGAGCAAACTGGGCTTCACACCTGGCCGCATCTCCGATGCATCGGCGACGCGGCGCGATCCCGACCCCATCTACTTCGACCCCATCCGGGAGGCAACAACTATTCCAAATCCCTTATTAATCGTCCCCCGGGTCCGGTTTTTTAAGGCGCCTTTTTGGTCATTAAGGGGGTCCGGTTTATTAGGTCGCTTTCTTTGGATTGGAGCTGAGGGGGTCTGGTTTATTCAGGCGCCCCATCGAAGAGGGGGTCCGGAATATTAGGTCGCATTTGGAGGGGGGTCTGGTCTTTTAGGGGGGGGTCGATTGATAAGGGATTTGGAGTAAGGTTGCTCCTGATTCTCCCTCACCCTCCCTCCAAGGCTGTGCCCCCGAACGTTGCCCCTGTGGGCTTCGGGCCGTGGGCGGGGCCTCCTGCGTTCGTTCGGGACGATCTGGGCACCCCTGGGGAACGCCTTCGGCGAAGCGCACCTGCTGGAAGGCATCCCGAAGCTGGAAAAGCGACGAAGACCGATGAAACGCCCGAGAACTTCGAACCTCGAACCCGAAGCGTCCCCCCCGAAATGTGGCCCCCCTCCTTCCAAGGCCGTGCCCGCTTACCGACACGTCAGGGGGTGCGACACGGAGGAGCTTTTCATTAGGAAAACGATGGAGGAGGAGGAGAAGGAGGGAGAAGGAGGGCGAGGAGGAGAAGGAGGAGGAGGAGGCGGAGGAGGCGGAAGAGGAAGAGGAGGAGAAGGAGGAGGAAAAGGACGAATGTAAACCCAAGACTCATCGACGATTTTGGAATACACCCTGCCTTCAAGCTCCCTCTCCATTTGCCCACACGAAACTTCATTTCCACTGAGGGAACTGCCCCTTAGGGGGACAACCGTGTGAACATCCCGAAACGTGCCAAAACAATCTTCTCAGGATTTCAACGCCACGAAATAACCTGATTGGTACGTCTTGGCGACATGAATCCTGCCAGAACACCATTCCTGGGACTTCAACACCGCGAATCAGCGTAACTGTTGCGCACTGACGATCTGGAACCGCTCCAACACACACCATGCCTGGTACGTTAACCATGAGAATCAACGAAGCTCCTGCTAATTTCTAAATCGAGTGTGCGCGGCGCTAAAGCGAGAATCACATTTTGAAAAGGAACTGCCCTCAATCCGTAAAGCTCTTGCAGATGTTCAAAACGAATGTTCGAAGCGTTACTGTGTAAATCACATTTTGAAAACGACCCGCCCTCAATCCGTGCACCTCTTGCAATGTTTCAAACGGATGTGCGCGTCGAGGCGAGAACCACATGTTGAAAATCAACCGCCCACAATCCGTGAAACTCTTACACATTGTTAAGATCAATGGGCGCGGCGCTCAGGCGAGAGCCACAATTTGAAAACGATCCGCCCTCAATGTGTGAAACTCTTGCGAACTGTTGAAGCGAATGTGCGCGGCGGTGAAACGAGAACCACATTTTGAAAACCACCCGCCCTCAATCCGTGAAGCTCTTGCGAATTTCTTGAAACGATCTGCGCGGCGCTAAGGCGAGAACCAAATTTTGAGAAAAACCTGCCCTCAATTTGTGAAACTCTTGCGGGCTTTTCAAACGGATGTGCGCAGCGTTACAGCGAGAACCACATCTTGAAAACCACCTGCCCTCAATCCGTGAAGCACTTGCGAATTCTTAAAACGAATGTTCGCGGCGCTAAGGTGAGAGCCACATTTTGAAAACCACCCGCCGTCCATCTGTGCAACTGTTGTTAATTTCTAAACTTCAGGATCAGACATGGTGAAGAAATCTCATGCGAAACGCTCGGCCCGCCCTTCCGACCAGCCTCGGGGTGCGACAGGGAGAAGTTATTCATAAACAACAAGGAGTGGAAGAGACAACGGAAGAAATGGGGCGTGCCCAGAAGAGTGTGTCTGGGTAAACCTCAGCTGCTACTACTGCTGCTACTGCTGGAGCTAATGTGGGTCTCGTCCACAAATATCACAAGTGAAGCAATGCGGGAATCATAGTGTATAGGGAGGGTCGGTCCTTCTTGAGCAGCTGCGTCAACAGCTGCGAGCAAGGCTCCTCGATCCATGAGCTTGCGCTGCTGGATTCGCCTGGCCCAGGGACCTTCAGAGCAACAGAGATCGCCTCGGGGAGCGATGGGGGCCTCCGCAAACGTGGGAGGACGCTGCAAGCGAGCGGCCTTGTTGGCCGCGATGCGGCAAGTATGACAACAAGTGGCAATGAGCACGAAGTGATGGGCATGTAGTCCGATAAGAAGCAACGTTGCGCGGGAGGAGTACACTCGTGCACATACTGTGAGAAACGAGCAGGCCACCCCGGGCAGCCGAACCCACAGCCGCCTCCCCTCTGGAGTCGGGCCCCCGCCGTCCAGCCTCCCAGCCAGGTCCTGAGCGCTACGGGCGCCCACGACTGACCCATTTTTCAGCGAGGAGCCGAGCGCGCGGCGAGCTGACCGTCGGGGGGCGATAACCGACGCTTGCCCCCGAAACGCTTCTGGACTCTCCGCACAATGAGAGAGATTCGAGCGGAGCCGTGTGCACCTCGTGCACGAAAGCTCTCGCGCACCGGCTCTGCCAGCGCGGCTTCTTTCGCGGCTCCGCGGGACCATCTTCGGGGGGGCCCCTGCAGAGAGCCGGCGCCTCCGCGTCGGCAGCGCGGAGGCGAGGGCGCGACAGGGGTCCTAACGCAGTGCCCATCGAGCACGCCAGCCGCGGCAGGCGCAGACCAGGTCGGAGCGGCGAGGGAAGGTGAGGCCCACCATCCGAAGGGGCCTTTAGCATGCACGTGCGAAGACGGGCGGGGGCATGCTGCCAAATGCCGCACGAGACGAGCGCGCTTCTCGCAATGGAAGCCGCGCTCTGTGCAATAAGGCTGCGCGGCGGGGGGGGTTCCACTCCGCAAGTCTGATCCAATCAGACCTCCCGAACAAGCTGAAGGGCGCGCGAAAAGTCTGGACCAGAAACCTCCCTTCGCACATAAAATGCGAGAAAGGTGGACGAACTAGCTGCGTTTTGTCGGACACAACTGATTGCGAGCGCTCTTTGTACATCTGGGCAACTGCATGCGGAGCACTGGGGGAGCCAGCGGCAGAGGAACGCTCAAGTGCCTTGGATGCCTTATATCAGGGCGCCCTCCGCTTGTCAGCAGAAACAGCCGAAGGGCCTGTGCAACACCCCAAATGCGGTGCCTAACCCGCGATCGTGCATTCTCCCAGGACGAATCGGCAGACTCCAGAGCCGACTGGAGACGGTCTGTGGCTTCTTCAGACTCCCACGCGGCCCACAGAGGCACTGCTGCGCACATGCTGGCCTCTAGCGCGAGTGCAGCAAGCGGTTTAGCCAGCTTGAAGACTCTCCTGGGGTGCAGGTGCCCGTGCAGATGCCACGCACGGACACCGATGTCGTCGGCGCAAGCCCGCGCGGGCCCTCGAGTCTGGCGGGGGAGGTGGAGTTCGAGGTCGCGGGGTGAAAAGGTTCAGAGAGAAGATAGAACAAATCCCGTTCAACGGGTATCCTTGGAGGCCGCCTGAGAGCATCCAACATGCTACGACATATCTCAGATGCCCGCATAGCATGAGTTCAACTGGTCAAATACTCGGATCGATTATTTGAGCCCGCGCGGCAGAGCGGCACATTTGGTGGTGATCATCATCCAGCGCTGGGAGACAGAGGGGAAAGCCTGGGAGAAGTCCAACGCAAAGAGAGAAGGGGCGTTGGTTGGATCACCGAGATATCTGATGCTACCCTCTCGCGCTGTGCCATCCAAATCAACCATGCTGTTGATGAAGTTGCGGCCAGGGATGAAGCCGCGTTGAGACGGTGCAGCGAGGGTCTGTGCATCCTTCCACACTGCGCGATGTAGTTCCGCAGAACCAGTCTTATTGCCAGTGTCCTTGAAACCTGGAGGGCGGACATCAGCGGCCTTCCAAAACAACGCCTCGTCATCTTCAACAGCCCTAGGTTTCGGGATAAAGACCTGCAGCGAGGAGCAACGCTCAAGATTTCGTGTATGATTCTTGGTTCAGCACCGTGATTCCGGCATGAGGTGGGAGAGCGTCGGGCTCGGGCGCCGAGTCCAGGGCCCTTTCGAAGTAGAAAGAGGCGCCGCGGAGGGGTGGGGGGCGGAAGTCCTGGGGCGCCCAGGCATATTTGACTGCTAAGCGCGAAGCCTTAGAAGGAGGATCGTGAAATTTACCACACCCTGGGGCCAAATATCTGTCTATTGAGCTCCGCGGCCACCTCTTCAAGGGGCGCGGTGGCGCCAGCCGGCGCCGACGACGAACTGACTCCAGCGAGGAACTCCCTCCAGCGTGGAACTCCCTCCATCCCGGGCTTGACCGCCGCCGCGCGCTTGCGCTTGAAGTCCGCCGCAGTCGATCGAGCATCCGCCGCGCGATAATACATATATATATATATATATATATATATATGTATATATGTATCTGTATCTGTATATGTATATGTATCTGTATATGTATCTGTATGTGTATATGTATCTGTATGTGTATGTGTATATGTATATGTATATGTATATGTATATGTATATGTGTATGCATGCATGCATGTCTGTCTGTCTGTCTGTCTGTATGCATGTCGGTATGTATGTATGTCGGTATGTCGGTATGTCGGTATGTATGTATGTATGTATGTATGTATGTATGTATGTATGTATGTATGTATGTATGTATGTATGTGTGTGTGTGTGTCTGTCTGTCTGTCTGTCTGTCTGTCTGTCTGTCTGTCTGTCTGTCTGTCTGTCTGTCTGTATGTATGTCGGTATGTATGTATGTATGCATATAGATATATGTATGAAGCGCCCGAGGGGCAGTCGCGAGCTGCAAGCCTCGAGTGGTTCGAGCGGCAGCCTGCCGGCACGGGAGCGGCTGGGCGGAGGGCCTCGGGGGGGCTCTCGCGCCGCTCGCACCTGCCAGCCGCTCGCCGTCTTGGATGAAGGGGGGCGGGCTGGGCGAGGTGAGTCCGACTCGGGGCGGCGGCGCGCCGCCCTCGGGGCCGCCGCGGCGTGGCCCGAGACGCCGGCGGCGACCGGCTCGCGGGGGCCCTTCGGGCAGGGCGCTGGCCGAAGCCCTCCGCGCAGGACCCAGTGGGGGCGTGGCCGTAGAGATCCGATCCACCGGTGACTCGACGAGGCTTCGGGGTGCCAGCTGGCACCCCGAAGCCTCGATTCAAAAAAAGTTGGAAAAAACGCGGTTACAAAATTTCTGAAATTTTGGACCTCTGGGAGAGGCTGGAGCTGTCCAGGGAGAACTCTACTGGATGCCGCCGGCTGCGGCGCCGCGCGGGGCCCCGGCGGCGGCCCTGGCGCCGAGGGGGAAGACTCGGCGCCCCACTCGCTGGGCAGAGCGAGGCCGCAGCGGAGGGGGTCCGCGGGGGCCCTCTCGACCTGGCTCAACATCTGGTGCCTTCTGGTTTCTGAGGCCGCCGATGGGATTATTTCAACATGGTGGGCGTGCCCATGGAAGACCGTGCAACTGCCGCTCTGGACTTCTAGAAACAGCACCCGCGCTTGGACGAAATCGGCCCCGGGGCGAAAAATGAAGGGCTTGCGGCATCCGGGGGGCCTCGGGGCGAGGCCCAGGCAGCCGCCGGATCCTTCTTGGAGCCAGGGAGATAATGCGCTGCAGTTTCGTGCTCTAAACAAGCACCATGGCAAACCTCCCTCGCAGCGTCGGCGTCGCCGTGACTCTCCTGCAGCGCAACGATCGAGTGGGGTCGTGCAAGTTCCGCGAGTAGCCGTTCGCGCCGATGCGGCGCAAGGCCACCACGATGACGTACATAGGGCACGGCAGTTCCAACTGACGTACTCTGCACCGATGGGGTCCCATGAAAGTGTTAACCTGGCCACGACGCCACCTTCGGCTGGAAGGCGTGCGATGCGACCTCCAGTGGCCTTGGAAGCTCCGCTCCGATATATGCGATGCTGTTATTGTTGGAGAAACTGACGGCGAGATTGTGATCCTTGCCAGGGGGCCACCAGCGGTAGCTGACGGCCCCCGCGTCTCGATCCACGCAGAGCTTGGGTGCAAGGGTGAACCGCTGCTCGAGCGCGGCGCGTAACGATTCGCAAGTGCGCTC